TCTCGGGAGAAAGCCCACGCGCTCACACGCTGGCGCGCGCGCACGTGCACACCGTGGGCAGCGAGAACACGAGCGAGAGCCCTTGAGCGCTGGACGCGTTTTTGCGATGGCTTCTGCCGTCTCCAGCAAAATTCATGCGCCCGGGACTTGCCCGTGCTCCAAAGCTGATGCCCACGGTGGCTCCTGCTGGAGAATGGATTGCGACCCCGAGATGCACGTGAAAATGTGCAAGAAGATAGCCCAGCTCACCAAGGTAAGGTGAGGCGCTGCGAGCGGGGTAACTGCACTCCCAGGGCTCCCCCGGCCGGGGAGGGGGCACGGGCGGCCCCGGGGAGGCCCAGGCCGAATCCAGGCTGAAACTTTGTCTCCGAGGCCACCCAGGAAGGGAAGTGGTCCTGAATCTTGGTGACTTGCCCTTCTGGAGGCACCATCCTAAAGCAGCTGAGAGGATCCTTGACAAGGAAACTCCTACACCCTGCGTGCTGAGCAGGTGGTCTGTGCTCCCAGGGTGGGAATGTGACTAGAGTTGAATCAGTGCGTGTGTGTATGTGTGTGTGTGTGTGTGTGTGTGTGTCTCCCTCCTTTGCCGGCTAGAGTTGAATCAGTGCGTGTGTGTGTGTGTGTGTGTGTGTGTGTGTGTCTCCCTCCTTTGCCGGCTCTGCTCAAGCGATCCTGCGGGAATGTTGCAATTTTATTCATCGCCGTACTTTACAGTCCAGAGGTCAGGTGCGCCCTGTTTAAACACTCGATTTATTTATTCCTTCGTTCAGCAGGTATTTGAGTGGTGTGTTGAGTGCCCGTGGCTTGCGTGGCGCCGTACTAAACCTGGACGGCAGCCCAGGGGACTTACTATCAAACCGGGTGCGGACGTGTGTGGGAGTGTAAATAAGCAAGTGCAGGATTCACCATTTAATTATGGGCTTACAAAGGACCTTGGGAGGTCAGCCAGCCCATCTCCTCACCTCGTCCCAGGGCCCGATGGAACCTGCAGGGACTGTGGTGTCCTCCTTGTGCAGAGCAGGGAAGACACCACTCTGCCCTTTATTAACCCCCTGTGGCTTCCCAATTAGGAGGTCCTTGCCAAGGTTCCCCTGGTGTATCTTGTGGGTGGATTGAGGACAGCATCCCTCTCTGCCTCCTAAGGCTCCCTGTGCCTGAATTAAGTTGTTTCCCCCAGGGTTTCCTTTTTATCTCATAATCAACTCCAGGTCCAGGTTCTGTCCAGTAGTGTATGGAACACGCTCTCTTCCCTGACTTTTTCTCTCCCACTTTCCCACACCTACTTTTTTTGTAGAATCACAGGCATTTTCCCTATTTTGTCAGAAGGGAGCAAGCACAGAGACCTGGAATTGGACAGTAGCTGCCTTCTCTCCCCCAGCCTCCACTCCCATGTTAACTTCTCCACATTCTTTGCACATAACCCTGTCTCTAAATAGTGATCTCTATAGTCAAGGATGGAAAAGGGGAGTGGGAATAGTCCCTTGGAGGTCATGGCATGTGCTGCTGGCAAAGGTGTCGATTCAAGGCACTGTAAACAGTATAAGTTATCTTCTCTATATGCAAAGAATCTAACATAATTTTAGAGGAACAAGGTTGAATTGAAAACTAAAAGACACTACTATATAATCAGTTGCTAAATTGGGTACTTCAAATTATGAGTGCTATAGAAGCAAAAACAAAGGATAAGTCATCACGGGTAAGAGCAGTTTGGAGAGATTTTGTGGAAGAGATGAACCTTGAGTTCATTGTGAATTTATGGAGTGCCTACTATGTGCTGGGTATTGATGTCATAAAACTGAGTAAGACAGGACCCCTACCCTTATGGTATGACAGACACATAAACAGGTCACTTCAGTGTAATGTAATCATTGCACTCATTAATATTTATGGCACACCTACTATGCACCAATCCCTGAAGATGCAGCAGCGAAGAAAGCAGACATGACCCCTAGCATATAGTAGGTGGCCTGTTGCAAAGTGTGTTTTGCATTAGAAATCACAGTTGATTCTTACTATGTAATGCCCCTTTTACTATATGTCATGCTGATGGTTTAAATTAGACATTTCTGATAATGTTACTGATATCTCACCTTTCTTTTGGCTACTGTTTGTATGTCACATGTTTTTCATTTCTTCATATTTAGTCTTTCTATAAGTTTTGTTTTAGTTGTCTCTCTGATAGGTGAATTTAACCCCTTTGCATTTATTATAATCACTAATATATTTGGACTTATTCTTGCATCATATTTTGTGCTTTTCAGTTAGCACCTTTTTCATTCTTCCTTTTTCTCCCTCTCTGTCTTCTGTTGGATTAATAAAATGTTTTTTCATTTTCCACTGCTGGTTTGAGGGCTTCACTCTTTATGTCTATTCTTCTCAGAACTGTCTTTTCTTTTTTCAACATACATACTTATATTGTTTTTAACAAAATAATCAAGTAATATTTTTCTTCCTACAAAAGCGCTTTACACGCCTTACCCGTTTAACAGCCCTCCCCTTTGCCATCTTGCCATCATTGCCTGGAGATTTTTACTTTTTTAATTTAAGAATTGTTTTTATAGTCAAGAGTCAGTTAAATTTACTGACATTTCACCAATTCTTGTACTTACTATTTTTTTCTGGAATCCAAAGTCTTCCCTTTGGGTTCGTTTTTCTTCTAGCCTAAGTTCATCATTTAATAGTTCTTTCTGTAGGTGTCCTAGTGGGAGGAGGAATCCTTTGTATATTTAAAAATGTCTTTATTTTGCCCTCACTGTTGGATAATCATTTATCTGGGTATAAAATTCTAGTGAATCGTTACTTTTTCGTAGTACATTAGTGATAGTGCTCCATTGTCTTCTGAAACCAATTGCTGCTGGTAAAAGTTCTACTGCCAATCTGATTTTCATCCCTTTGTAGACAGTAGGAAAATGTGTAAATAAATTGTGGTATATTTGTATAATGAAATACTACCCAGCATCAAAAAGTATGAACTGATATGCACAACAACAGGATGAATCCCAAAGATGTTATGTTGAGCCAGTGATTTTCAACTGGTGTGCCACAAGAATTTTTAAAACATGCAGTACCTGGCTACTTAGGGGCACTGGCCCATTTTCCCTGAGATTGTCAAATAAAAACATAACAATAGCCAACCCAACAATAGCCATCCAGTGTGAATGAATCAAAATAATACCTATTTTTTTGTCAGGTTGGCAAAAAATATAACACATTTTTTGGTGTGCCACAGAATTTTAGTAATTAGCTTATGTGAAAATCGCTGGTCTGTAGTATAACCCTTAAAATAAGAAACGCCTCAATTTATTCACAATACTTTGCACGTGGTAAACAGCTAATATATGTTTAGTGTAGTGAATAAATATCAGTACGCACATTAAATCCACCTGGAGAGCTTTTAAAAACACATCAGTGACCCGACAACTAAACACAATGCCTGATCCTAGACTGGATTCTGTACTGGGTGGAAAAATGCTATAAGGAGATCACTGCATCAATTGAGAAACTGTAATATGATAATAGGGAAAATGCAAGTGTTTGTGTAAATGTTAAATGTACTGGCGTTGACAACTACACCTGGGCTATGCAAGAAAATATCTTTATTTTGAGGAAATGCACATTGAAATATGTCTTTTAAGGAAGTATGTCTTACTCTCAAAGCATTTTATTTTATAAATAAAATAGAGAAAATAAAATAGAGAAGGAAAGCCAATGATAAAACAAATGGGACAAAATGTTAAGGGTAGATGAATCTGGATAAAGGGTATGTGGATGTTTATTGTACTATTTTTTTCTGGCATTTTCCCCCTACATTTGAAAATATTTCTAAATAAACACAAAAACAAAAAGTATACAAGGCCCAGGCCCCACCTTAGAAGGAGAGGGGAGAGTGATGGCAGGGATTGCTATTTTTCCAAAAGCCCCTAAAGAGCTCTTATTGTTCACACAGTGTTAAGAACCACTGTTTTAGAACAACTGAAGGTTTACACTATAAAGTGGGCACAGAGGAGTTATTTAGGACAACAGGAGGTTCCAAATCCATCCCCACCTGTTAGCCTCTTAGGAGCTGTCTGGGTTATGAGATCCACTGTCCTGGCAGTGCTTGTGTTCAAGTCAGCTTTGTTTTACTTAATAATGGCCCCAAAGCCATTCACATAATTGTTAAAGCTGTTCTATTTTATTATGTTACTGTTGTTCATCTCTTACTGTGCTAATTTATAAATTAAATGTTATCTCAGTTATGTATGTATAGGAAAAAACATAGTATGTGTGTATATATATATATATATATATATATATAGGGTTTGGTATTGTCTGCAGTCTCAGGGATTCACAGGAGGTCTTGGAACATAACCATCGCAGATAAGTGGGGACTCCTGTATATGTAAATACTTCCTTTTTTTCGTGGGGAGTTCTGGAGGTCAAAGCCACTGTTTCTGTCACATCCAGATCAAAGGAACCAAACTGTGTGTCGCCGTGTCCCAGAACCTCACCAAGGTCTACTAAGACACACAAGCAGAAACAATGATATTGGATGGGGGTGGGTAGGGTTGGGTAGGGAGGTGGTAGGGATGGGGTGGGGGATGTTGTTATGAAGAATGGGCACTGAGTATAAAATTAGAAATATTAAGGAAAAATAATTATACTTTCTACTTGAAGTTATCTTTTAAATGAATTTAAACCTGATTTATTTCCAGAGGGATATTTCTTACTCTTGTTTGTGCTAATACACATAGATTTAATATAAACTGTTAATAAAACTGAAGACACCTGGAGAGCTAATGAACAATTTGAGGGTTAACCTTGGAATGCTCTTCCTCCTGACCCTCACTCACATGGCTGGTATCAGCTAAGAAGCCATCTCTTCAGAGAGGCCTTTTATGACCTTCCAGTCCAAGGGGACCAGCTTTGCTCATCTTGTAATTAGGAAAAATATTTCTTTCTTCCTCTGTGATTAGCTATGAGGTTTCGCTAACTAAGGAATGTTAAGTGGGCACCTCGCCCAGGGCCGGGCACATCGTGAACTTGACAGATGTTGGCTGTGCCTTTGCTTCTTGAACTGGAAGGACTTTAAAGGGACAGAACTGCTGCCCAGTTGTCAAAATCAACAGCCTAGAGCAAAGCCAGCCCTTCCCTGGAGTTGGGAGGCCAGGGCAGGGTCCTAAGGCCACAGCAGTAAGGCCTGTTGCTACCCAAGTCCTCAGCAGCCGGCTGCCACTTGAGCCCTGTGTTTTCATGGCTTGGAGGTGTGCAAGT